CTTTCAAGCCATTATTTATCCCTTTGTGGAAGCAAGAACTGCTATGTAAATTTCACTCATTTTTCCACCTGCAATAGTTTGTTTTTGGCACAGAGGATTTGATTTGCCTGATGTTTGTTTTGTTTTCACAAACAGGTAATTATTGCTGCAGAACTTCTGAAGAACGCAGATGAATTAGTCAAACAGAAAATTCATCCTACTTCCATTATTGGTGGATATCGACTTGCTTGCAAGTAAGTCTGATTCAGTGGAATAACAACGTATTCCAGTTCTAGGAGAGCATAATATATAGTGAATGCATTATCTCATTTACATGTATACAGTGGAGTCGCATGTTACGTGGGGGTTAGGTTCTAAAGTCAGTGTGTAAGGCAAAAATCGCATATAGGCAAAATTACCCTTGAATATCAGCTGGCCTGCTCCTGGGACCTAGCACATACGTGTGGTGGGGGCTGCATGCATGCTAGGTCCCGGGAGCTGGGGGGCTTGCCCAGTGGTACAGTCTGCTCCCTCCCCCATCCAGCTGCTCCCAGTGTAGCTGCTTGGCCCCGTGCACAGCGCTGCGAGGGGCAGCCGCAGGCTGAATCCAAACAACTGGTACTCTGGGGCATACGTGTATGATGAATTTGCGTAAGTTAAATGTGCGTATGATGCGACTCCGCTGTATTTGTCAACAGTGCAGGTTCTTTTCTTATGGTGCTTGTTGGTTAAGGCTTGGGGATGTTTGTCAATTTTGTTCTACCACAGTATTAAGTATGTCCTGACAGGAAATTCTTGCTGTTTCATGTGGGGAAAACCAGAATTTTCATCAATAAAATGAACTAAATGTTTATGGGAGGAGGAGCTGGGGAAAGGGGTTGTCATAGGTATGAAACTGTTTCCAGAGGGAACAAATTTTTCTTTGTTTTTTATTCAACAGGGAAGCTGTTCGCTACATCAATGAAAATCTTATTATTAATACAGATGAACTGGGCAGAGATTGTCTTATTAATTCAGCTAAAACATCAATGTCATCCAAAATCATAGGAATGTATCCTTTGTGGTAGCAGAAAAGTAACATTCACTTAATTTCAAACAAAGCAAGGGAAAGCTTGAATATCTTGTAATCAGTCATTCTCCTGTAATTGCTCTGTATGCCCTTTACTACTTCTCAGCTGCTGTGTGTAAGTATCCCCATGGCCTTACATACTCTGTTGAAGGCTAACCTGGACAGCCTACTCCTGAATGGAAGAGGGCTTAATTGTCTTGGTTTAGCTTTTATTTATTGCAGGGTTATTGCAGAAACATGGACAGTTTGTGCTTGCAGTTCATGGGGTGGGGCTTTGCTGTTTTACAGTAATTGTTCATTTGTCCACTTCTACCCCACAGTAAAAAAATGAACTGGGATAACTTTCCTTCCACCATGCTCCTGCAGCGTAGCTCATATTGTGGGTTAAGAGTGGGCAGGAGTGTAATTACCATAGAACAGAAGTATAATAAATCTCATTTTCCCCTTATTCATGGGCACATGAACAGTAGTAACTGGGTATGCCTGATTGTACAAAATTATCTGATGGTAAATGTGGCCTGAAAAGATTTTGGAAACCCCTGGTTTTCACAGTGTAACATTTTAACAAAGTGTTGCAATTAGCCTACTTTAAGATGAGATTTTAGTTATTTCTTGTGACAGAAAGTGACATCACAGCTGCTGTAAGAGATTTGAAGGAGCTATTCTCATTTAAATCCTATATTTTTCATTTTTTCCTTTCTCAGCTGTAGAAAATAGGATAGTGTGTGGTGTAAACTTTGTTTTGGGCTTGTTTTTGTTTCATTTTTTGTTTTTTCATTTGTTTGTTACTAATTTAAATAAGTATTTATTTTAAAAATAAATCAGTGGTTGGTTTGCCTCCTTTCTTAGTTTAAAGATTAAAACAAGCTCTTTGCTTTCCATTTAACAAACACGTCTTTCTTTTGTTTAACCTTGTGTCTTGTCCAGGTTTGTTGCTGCTGTGAAGTACATCCCTTCTCTCATACTCCTGTCTTTACCTTAGCCAGTATATTTACATTTTGCATTTGAGGGAAATGTTTCAAAGAAAAAAAATAGGTGAACATACACAAGATTATTAGTCTCCATATTTCATGTAACAAATTCTGATTGCATTAAGCCTTGCTCTTTCATGGAGGTTAAAGGAAGAAAATGTGGTATTAATTGTAGGTCACTTAAAGCTGTCCTTTTGCCATAATCACCACTGTACTATGGTAGAAGACTACTTGCCTGACATCGGTGCTACACATACAAATGCTATGCTGAGTTCTAAGTTAATTTGTACAGTGTTGGTTGTCTTTTATAATTAATTTTGGCCTTAACAGTATTATTTTAGAGATGGTGACTTCTTTGCTAACATGGTGGTGGAAGCTGCAAGTGCAGTTAAATACACAGACCAAAAGGGTCAGGCCCGATATCCAATCAACTCCATTAATGTTCTGAAGGCACATGGCCGTAGCCAGAAAGAAAGTATTCTTGTGAATGGTTATGCACTGAATTGTGTGGTGGGTTCTCAGGGTAAGATATTTTTTTTTGATAGATTAGTTATTGCACTCACTAAATTGATGTGTGCTTACGAGTATTGTTGTGTGGTGATGCTTCTGCTGATGCAGTAAGCTAGGAAATGAAGTATTTTTCATTTAAAAATTAAATTAATCCTAAAACAAGTCAACGTTAAAATTCAATGAAATTAAATTTCATTTAAATGTAAATGGAAAAAATGTTAATCTGCACCGTGCTGCGTTTCACCCCCTCCCCCAATAAAGTAGGACAAGAGTTGCACAAGAATATCTGGGTATTTTGTTAAATTGTTGATCTTGAGAAGAAAGGCTTCTTATCATATGATGAAGGGCAGCAGCATTTGATTTTTTGACATGGTTGGATTTTTCTTAAATTCTAGCGATTTGTAATTGCACATAAAATTTTTCCTGTGCCTAAATCTTGTTAGTGGTCCTCCAGGGGAGGAGGCTTTTCTAAAATTTCATAACATGAGTCTAGTAGTTGAAGTTAGATGTTTAACAATTTCTAACTACCCATCTCTAGGAAAAAAGTAGGTACCTCAAGTTCAGACTTTCCCCTGAAACTCATAAGCATCTGTGAAGTTTGTGAAAGAAATTTGCAATGGATATAAATATTGAGTCCTGAAATCATGTCTGAGAAATAACTCCTTGTTTATACCCAAGACCACTAAGTTTTAAATATTCAGTTTTTCTCTTTACATTGTGTCTTTGTCCAAACTGCTTTTGAGCAAGATGGACTGTAATATGGTAGTTACCATGGTGTGTCCTGATGCCTCTTTTTCAGTTGTTCAGAGGCTTCAGTAAGGGGGTAGCAAATAGGCTAGGAAGGCAGAGTGGAACTCCTTGGGTAACACCTAGGGATTGCTGTCTGCAGTGGAAGGTCTCAAATGTGTGTGTTATAAAAAATAAAAATCCCTAAAATTATGTTACTTGGATGTAAAAGCTAAGTCTGTCAGCATTTTTCTTTTACTGAGACTGTAGCAGTAGATCTCTATAGAGCAACATTTCAATTATGCTGGAATTTGATGGTTCCATTTAATTATTTTTAGCAATAATGTCACTTAATATTGAATTCAGAAGCGCTTAAAGGTGCTTCCAAAGAAAGCAACTAAGATTATGCTTGGGTATAGAAAGGTATTTTACTACTCTTTATGTCAGGGGTGGGCAATTATTTTGGGCAGAGCGCTGCTTACTGAGTTTTGGGAAGCCATTGAGGGCCGCATAACATGCAGCCAGGGGCAGATAAATATTAATTTTCTAAAATGTTTAGGAGCGCTGCAGGCCAGATAGAATGGCCTGGTGGGCTGCATCTGGCCCGCAGGCCACATTTCCCACCCCTGCTTTGTGTTGTTACTTTATCTACTTTGCTTAGTTTAACATACCTTATTTTCTTGTACACAGTATATCCCCAAATAAAACAAACCTTGTTTTCAAAAGGCAGAACGTAGAGAAGAAAAAGTTCTTTTCCAGGTTCATGGTTAACTGTGGCATAGACTAAGTTCTCCTGAGAACATAGAAGTGCCCAGAAAGTGTGACATTCCAGGAGAAGTTGTGTATGAGGCAACAGGAACTTCCTGGTGTAGCAGGCGGTCTCCAGGGATATCACACTTCTTGGATACTCTGTGTTCCCTGGGATTTAATCTGTCACACCAGGTTAGGCCCCAGACCCTTGAAAGGGCAGTGTTTGCAGGGTCTCAAGTAAAGAACTACTTACAGTAAAAAAAAAAAACAGTACTGTTTCCACATCACAAACCTCATCAGGATACTACGACAGCTCAGTTTGTGCCTGAAGCAGCAAGTACAGTGCTCAGCAAAATACCTATGACTATGAGAAAGTTAACACAGGACTCTGCCATCTTGACAGCTGTGTGGCATGCACAATATCTCCATGCTTCCTTCTTCTCCAGCAAAGACAACTTCCCTGATTAAGACATGCACCAAATTTGGGGGGTTGATTTTTGAGGGGAAAGTTGCATATGTGCAAGAAAATATATTTACACCCTTGCAACACATTAAAATTTGAGGAACAGAAATAGTTTTAGAGGTAACTGATTAAATTTATAAATAAGATAATGTAACTGGTGCTATTTTCATTAAACAGTTTTAATTAAATGCTTAATTAAATTTAAATCCCATTTTTTCACATAGGTATGACTAAGAGAATAGTTAATGCAAAGATTGCCTGCCTGGACTTCAGTCTGCAGAAAACAAAAATGAAGCTTGGTGTTCAAGTCGTTATTACAGATCCTGAGAAACTAGACCAGATCAGACAGAGGTGTGCCAGTTTTTTTCCATGTATCATTTTAGTATTTTTAATTCTGGTGGGCTTCTGGATGGCTTGATGTCCTAAGCTGAACTGATAGGCAACAAATTAACTGCCATAAGTAGCTATGACATCTTAATATAACAGTGGAAAGTACTGTATTTCATACCACATGCACCTTTTACTTAAAAGTTAGCCATCCAGAATTGAGGTGCACGTTTTAAGCAAAGAAGCAAATTTTCATGCTTGGGGTTCTTGGACACCACATGCAGGCTCAGCTTCACTCACCTTAGCAGCTCCAAAGCTAAAGTATTACCTTTGTGACAGCTGCTGCTGAACTGGCAACAGCTTTTGAATGCTCCTAGGAGAGTGTTCAGCCATGGTGAGCTTATGCTGCATCAGGAAAGACTGGAAAAATCTTTTCTTTTTGGTTTTTGCTTCATCTTTCCTTTTCTAAGCGGTATATATGTCGGGGGGGGCATGTGGTATGCAAAAAATACAGTATGGAATCATTGGAGTATGTTTGAATAATCTAAATTTAGTTCACTGTTACAGTATTAAACTAGGAAGCTAAATGTTAACAGGTAATTTCAAGTGGTTCTATATTAATGTGATATCTGGAGGTCTGTGCTGTGCATCTGTTTAACTGTTCCATACGTGGGATAAAAAAGGCATGGTTACAGTTTAGGATTTTGAAGGCCATTTTTTATAATAATTTTAGGTTATAAACACTTGTTCATGTTACCTTTTGCAGAGAGTCAGATATCACTAAAGAGAGGATTCAGAAGATTCTAGCTACAGGTGCCAATGTTGTTCTAACTACCGGTGGCATTGATGATATGTGTCTGAAATATTTTGTTGATGCTGGTGCTATGGCAGTACGCAGAGTTCTGAAAAAGGATCTAAAACGCATAGCCAAAGCTTCTGGAGGTATGTATGTATCAGGACCTTGGTCATAGTTTAGGGTTTTTTTGAAAATGAAGGTGTTTGGGTTTTGCAGATTCCAGATAGGGAGCATCTTTGCTAAATGGAAGAGAAGTGCCATGGAGTAATGACTGCTGAAGATGTGGAATGAAGAAACGTGATGGCTGGTAGTGGGAAGGTTTCCTCACTTTAGAAGAACCAGACTCAGTTCTTGTGAACTTGGCTTGAGTAAACTCTGCTTTTAAGTCCACGTTTAATATTTTCTTAATTCCCGACTTTCTTTAACAAAATCATGCAACTATAGAGAAGAAACTATTTGTAGGGTAAAACTCTTCAATCCCAATTTTTGTGGAACTTTCAAGTAAAGTCTGCTTAGAATTTTGCAGGAACTTTGACATTAGTCAAGGTATAAAAACTTACTTTCACATCCCTTCTTTTTAACTGTATTAGTGTAAGACCAGAAACAATAAGAACAAATTGATTTTAAGAAGCAATGATGTAGTCTTCAAGAAAATTGATATTTCTTGATGCATCCAGATAGATTAGAAATGCTTAGTCTACCATTTTATGAGGAAATACTATTTAGCATACTGATGTTTGGTTTTTCATAGACAGTTATATTTATTCTAGAAGACTGACAGGATAATGGTATGTGCTAGAATTACATGTGCTAATTTCACCATCTGTGCTTTTTGTTTTAAAAGCAACTGTGTGTTCAACCTTGGCTAACCTGGAAGGTGAAGAAAGCTTTGAGGTATCAATGCTGGGACAGGCAGAAGAGGTAGTTCAAGAAAGAATATGTGATGATGAGCTGATATTAGTCAAGAAGTAAGAGCATGTTTCTTTAAAAAAAAAAAAAAAAAAAATTGAGTGGATATGCCACATTAGTTTTGTTGCACCGCTAAAAGTAAATTTCCCATTTATTTGCTGCCATACGATCTTAGTAGTATGAGCAGTTATACGCGTGGGATAAAGCATATTAAGCTCACTGTAAAATCAGTGGTGAAAACCACCAGTGTTTCACCTTTTTTGCTGTGGCTAGACATTTCTCAGACAGTCTAATTCTAATTATTAACTAGTGGCCAGTCAAGGTTGTTAAAGGATTGGCTTGTTTAAAACACATTATTCACAAACAGGCCTGTACCTGCCTCAGCCTGCTTACCTTCTGTCTGGCTCCAGAGCAGCAGTGGCTGTGGTCCAGCCTGGGCAGGTAGAAGCACAACAGCAGCTCCAAGCCTGGCTGGGTTTGAGCTGAGGGTGCATGGGTGCCAAAAATAAGCAGTAGGATGGAGGCAAGCTTGCTATATGGTCTCCCACTTACTCTTGTCCCTGTGGTCTCCTCTGCAAACTCCCTCCCCACTACACCATCTCCCCACTGTAAAAGCCACCCCACCCAGGGCAGGCAGCAGCTCAGCTCTAGCTTTGGCCCCAGACTTGGAACCAGGGCCGCTGTGGTCACCTCCCCCAGGCCAGTACTTGAATATAAGACTTGGCTTCCTCACTATCCCCCTTTTGGCTGGAAAAAGAACTCGTTGTGGAAATCAAGTAAATATAGTAGTTCCCTGTATGTTCTGATATGACATCTGCTTTTAGTTTCATAGGACTAAAGAGTTGTCAGAAAGTAGGGTATTTACTCACTTCTGCAACTTCACAGCCACCCATTGCTGTAATACCAGCAGTTCCACTAGTTTAGTTTTGGCTGTTGAATAAAGCAGGGCTGTCCAACTGATTGTTAGGGGCACAGGAAGCCCCTGAGGGATTAAACAGTGGCCTGCCACTCTTTACTCTGCTGCTGCCAGAATCCCTTGGCTCCCCTTCCCTCCTCCAGTTCTCTTGCCTGTCCCTAGCACATTGGGCACCCATGGGGTAAAGCAGTGGAGGGGGGCTAATGGCATGGAATGGTGTAGTGGTGGGGAGGGTCCCTGTGATGCAACAGGGAAGGGTCACATGTTGCATTGCATAAGGAGCCCATGTTGTGCAGGGGGGGGTGTTCCCACAATGGTTTGTGGGCTTCTGCATTGTGGCAGGCAAGGTGGACATGCAGTCACTCAAATTGGGCAGCCCTAGAATAAAGAAAGCAGTAGATTGAAACAAGCACAGTTCTAAACTCTGTGTTTCTGTTGATAACTGGTTTTTGTTTCATATTCATTGGTGGAAAATGTCTTTTCCTTCATACTGTAAGTAAAATTTCCTAATTAAGTGAGCAAATAAATGCATTAAGAGCCTAAATACAAGCTTCCAACCTGTCCAGGGGAATTATCACGCACATTGATTTGTTAAGTTGTATCAGTTCTTGCAAGATCTTTGGACAGTTTAACATTTAAGGCTAGATCTTTGTTAAAAAATTAACTATAATGATGGTATAGTAGAACATTAGTGATCTCTCTGAAGTAAGCAACTCTTTTCTCTCTCAACAGTACTAAGGCTCGTACTTCTGCATCTATTATTTTACGGGGAGCCAATGACTTCATGTGTGATGAAATGGAGCGGTCCATCCATGATGCTCTTTGTGTAGTTAAGAGAGTATTGGAGTCCAAATCTGTGGTTCCAGGTGGTGGTGCTGTAGAGGCAGCACTTTCAATATATCTTGAAAATTATGCAACTAGCATGGTAAGCCTGCTTTATAAAACATTGTGTACCATTACAGAAAATAAGAACTGATTGCAAGTGGATTTACTAGTGCACAAGTCTTCACTTTCAGCTTCTGTAAGCTTTTTTGCACATATGGGTTGGGAGTAATTATTATATGCAAATATAAAATTCAGCTTTCAAGGCAACTTCTTCCAAGCTGAGTAGCCCCCTTCCTCTTCCCTGTTTCACCTCATTTTGATCAAACTTTTCTGGGCTAAAATCTTTTCTGTCTTCTTACAAAATAAATCACTTTAATCTAGTTTTCTTCTGAAGTTATGGCTGCATCTGCCTGCTTATAATGCACCATTTGGCTTGAAAAATCTTTGAGCATCAAAATAACTACAGTTACCTATTCTTCCTTCTTTAGGGATCCCGTGAGCAGCTTGCTATTGCAGAATTTGCAAGATCACTATTAGTTATTCCAAATACTTTAGCAGTAAATGCTGCTCAGGATGCCATAGATCTTGTTGCAAAGTTGAGAGCATTTCACAATGAAGCCCAAGTTAATCCAGAACGCAAAAATCTGAAATGGTAAGTATCTTTGTGAAGGGGGAAAAAAAAAAAGTCAACCTGAGCCCACTTTCTTGAGTGAAGAGTTATTTTAGTAGTCTACTGATGCCACTTTACATCTAACTTGACTATTTTGTGATGTATTTGTAAATTTACTAAGCTTCCCTGCACGCCATCCTGCAACTTGATCTACACACAAATATTACAGCTGAACCACAGGCTTGTTTTCGAAAAGGACAGAGGGCATAGGGCTGAATAGCGCTGCTTGTACTTACTTGATACATTTCTCAATTGCAGGATTGGTCTTGACTTAATAAATGGAAAACCTCGTGATAACAAACAAGCTGGTGTTTTTGAGCCTACCTTGGTCAAAACCAAGAGCTTAAAATTTGCAACAGAAGCAGCAATTACTATACTTCGAATTGATGACCTTATTAAGCTGCATCCCGAAAGTAAAGATGATAAAGGAGGGTGCTATGAAGATGCAGTTCGTTCTGGAGCACTTGAAGAATAAGAGGCATTTTATTTGTGTTGAGTTATGTAATGTAGATTTTCCTGTCTGTAGTTGGCAGTGTGTGTGTTAATAAAAACACGTGCACAGTAAGGAAGGATTGTCTATATTCAGCTTTGACTTACCAACTTTCAACCTCTCTTGAATTTAGTGTTTAGAATCTCTTCCTGTTAGGAGAGCAGAACTGAGCAGCGTAAGTGTAAGGCAGTGTTGTATAACTATTAAAAATATTGTAAGTAAAATTGAGTCAAATGAGCTTGATAAAGTTTATTGGAAAACTGAAACCACTAAAACACACTACAAACAAGCTTCGTTCATTTTCATCTTTCAATGCACATAGCTATTCCCATCCCACCTCCTATACAAAGGGCAGCAACACCATGTTTTCCACCTGTTCGTTCTAATGCATGCATTAGAGTAACAAGAATGCGACAGCCAGAGGCACCCAGAGGATGTCCAAGGGCAATAGCCCCCCCTTCAATATTCACCTGAAAAGAAATAAAGAGAGTAAGTCAATCATATGAATTTATGACTGTTCAGCTTTGTCTCCTTCACCTTCCAGGGATTGGGAAGGAAATCACAGGAAAGTTCTGGGTTACAGTTGTTACCACATTTGTGGACTGCAACTTGTATTACTGTCTCCCAAAGGAACAGTAAACAATAAGCCCTTAGGAACAGCTTTTCTTAAGCTGTTTTGGACCATGTTCTTAATAGTTATTAGTTCACATGTAACTGTACAGTGGGGATGAGGCAGAGTACAGGGGGTTGTGGGATACTGGAAATACTAGGAATCTCTATCATAGTCAGAAACTGAACTTTTCCAGCAAATTTATTAGAAGTAAGTAATAGCACAATCTGCTTGAATGACTCCTAGCATGGTATGTCAGCACTAAGAGGCGTATTTCCTGCTCCAAACATAAGGCCTATCCCTGGCCTAAATGGGTATTTCTCTATAGAGAGGTTACAGAATTTAAGATGCAGAGAAATGCTACTGAAAGTTGGGTGTGCAAGCCTAGGAACTACAGTAAATTCTAGTCACAAATTGCCCAACACAGGTACTCTAAAGAATTGCTAAGATTTTGAGGGTGAATGCAATAGTTACCTTTTCTGGATTTAGTTTCAGTTCTTTTGCTATTGCTGCAGCTACTGATGCAAAAGCTTCATTGATTTCAAACAAGTCAACTTGCTCCAGCGTCCAACCAGCTTTATTAACCTAGAATAGAACATACAGCAATTAAAATAAGGAGAACATACTGTATTTTATTGATCACTTGCAGGGTCTTTGATATATATTTAAGCCTTAAAACTTGTTAGTCATAACCCTCATTCAATTTCTTCCAAAATTCTTCAGTATCTACAAGTTTCATGAGTTTTGATGTGAGGTGATGTGACAATTACTGTCATTTATCCAATATCTATCTGGGTAAGGGTATGCTGTGAAAATGCAACTTACCCACTTGCATGCGCACACACATACTGAGTACCAAAAAGGTAACGTTACCACTATTTGAGCAATACCTCACGCATACACTCAAAAGTGGCTATGACACTTTTTCAGTATATGGATGAGCAGAGATGAAGGGCAAAAAGCATTTTCAAAGTGGCACTCTGCACCGTGCCTGAGGTTTCTGGAGACAGTTGATTCATTATTAAACTAACGCATCGAAACAACTCGCTGCATTACTCAATCCTCATCTGCTATACTGAAAACCTGGAGCTGTTACCTTGCATTTTTTCATACCAGATCCCACTGACATTAGAACTGCAACAGTTCAGCTTAGCAATAATAAAGCAACATGAAGACACATAATTAACAGACTTTAAAAAATTCCAGCTTAAAACCTATATAAAATGCAGGGGGTTGGGGACTTGGTTTGTTTGTTTTTTTAAAGGCATCTTCTACTGCCCACAAGTATTTTACACATAGGGCATGTCCAGACAAGTGCGTGCACGTTCTCTGCACCACCTCAAAGGCTTTTGAGGCACAGAACACGTAGACATGAAAGGGAATTCCCAATATTTCAAAAAATACATTTAAAAAAAAAAAGGTGGTGCACATGGCTGTAGTGTGCGCTGCCCAAAACCAGAGCCTGGAGGGCCAGAGCTATACTCCAGCTGCCGGTCAGGCTCCACACACCCAGACCACCACCACAGCAGCCCCACAAGGCCCCCAGAATCCCAGGTAAGGCTACAGCCTCCTCTACCCCACCCAGGACAATCTGCCGTGTGCCAGAACACGTATGTAGGGGTGTTCCCTGGGAACAAGTAGCAGCAGCTCAACCCCGCCATGGAGAAGAGCCCAGCACCAGCCCCTGCCCACAGTAGCAGGTTGCCCTCACCCTGTACACAGATATGGGGGGCATATGCCCTCCATGGTTCCCCTGGGGGTGTGCACAGTGGCAGGAGCCACCCCCCTGTACCCCTGGATGAGCTGCTCGTGGCCCTATCTTGCACCCAGCCTGCCCCTGCCCCACTCCCTCACTGCAAGGACCTGCCTGACGCAGCCAGATAGGCCATGTGCATGCTGCAGCTGCACACATGCATACAACAATAATCGGCCAAATCAGCCAAAAAAAAGCCTGACTGCCAGTAAGGACAATTTTCTTTTTATCAGTGTCAATACGATTTGCACCGATATGCAGTGTTTTCTGTGCTCTTTTAAAGGTTTTTGCCTCTAATAATAATAGGAAACTTGGGGAGAAAGAGCAGGAGAGCCACAGCCTTAACACCACGGTTCTATATTTTTATTTTTTTAAAGAACAGAAGTCAGAGGAGACCATTCCATGCACCTTTCAATCAGAACAGTAACTTCTATCTCTTAGAAAATTAGAAAGCTTTATGTCCTCATGCAATGTGGTAAAGTAAGGTATACATCTGATTAGAAATTAGAAGTGTTGTTGCTGATTACCTTAAAAAAAAAAAAAAAAAAAAAAAATTTT